CCCCGCTTGCCCGACCCGTGTCTCGTCCGTTCGGGTTCCACGCGTGTCACATGGCACATGCGTCATCATGTGCATATGCGCCGTATTTGAATGCCCCGCCCGCCCGGCCCGCCGCCCGCCCGCCGCCCGACACGCCCGCCCGTGAGGGCCCAGTCCCGACATCCGCCCTTGGACTTCCCAAGCAGCTCTCGGAGCCATCCTCGATCGTGATTTCGCGCCGTCGGTTCATTCCTGTGCGCCCTGGGGACCGAGATGTGCCCCCTTCGCCCCCTCGCCCATTCCCCAGGGGAATGTTCAACCTTGAACGGCTCCCCAGAGCAGTGATCAATCTTGAACGGCTCCGCCAGCGCTATCGTTTCCTTGGAGAAGGGAGGCGGGGGGAGTGGGCGGTCCACCGCATCTCACGTCGACTGGACGCGAAACCTGCCGTGTCCATCCCACCGGCCCTGTAGCGCGTGGGTGGTCTTGGAGAGTTTCCTCTTCCACCTCCCTTTTTCCGCTTCGGGGAGGGGTTTGCCCCTCTTCCCTGCCCCTCCCTGGACCTTTCTCCCAAGACGGCTCCAAGAGAGCCGCAGAGAGCCGAAGATGACGTCGAATATTGTTCTCGATAGTCGAAGATGCTCCGAGGTGGTTCCAAAGATGCTCTAACAGGCCTGGATGAGTCGTGCGTCCGATCCCCAGAGAGGAACCAGAACTCATGTTGAAGCTCCTGCCGAGGTTCACACTTCGAACCTGAAAGACCCAGGCTCTGCGGGCCCCATGGGGGGCTTTCCCCGCCCCCACTGCTGGATAAGGGCGCGGAGGAGGGGAAGGAGAACAAGCGGGATAACAAGGAAAAGACAGAGCAGGCAGAATTTGCGGGGCAGGACAAGGCGGAGGAACGGCACCAGGGGGTTCGTTCCTGGTCCCGCATAGGCGCTGCATACGATGAGCGCAACAGCTGGGCGGATGCTTCTCTCACGCAAGAATCATAGCGCTGTCATAGGGCGCCCCGCTCGCGAGCAAGGCGGGTTGGACAGGGCGGGCCTGGAGGTTCGCGGGGAGTTGCCCCGGCAAGCTCCACAAAGCTTGCATCGCGCGTTGGTCGCGGCGCGGCAGCGCCAGAGGGGGGGCGACCCCAGCGCGTGGCCCACGCCATCCTGCTGCGCCGAAGGTAATCGTTTGGTTGACCGACGGCCCCATGTCGGCCCCAGCTCGCCCACGGGTGCGCCGCGCCGAAAAAAAACGCGCAAGCGCGAGAAGGAGGCCCTTCTCGCGCCGCACGGACTACGGCGTCGACCCCCTCTTGCGCCAAGCCCCAATACCCGAGCAATGTGGCGAGGTTATACGGGCTCTCGTGCCCGCGCTGAAACGGGCAGCCATGGACTTGGCCGGATTCAGGGAGCAGGAACCTCTGGATGCTGGCGCACCCGAACGGATGCGCGCCGCGCCCGTGGCCGCGGGCGCCGCAGGCGTGCTCTACTTGGTACCGGTGCTCCCTCTCGAAGACTTCCTCGGCGACGTGCCCGTCGCGACGCAGCTCCGTCTCGAAACACAGCAGCGCGCTAGGGAGGTCCAGCCCCGCCATCCGCAAGAGGGGCCGCAACTGCAGCAGGCCCTGGAATCACAACCGCCGCCCTGTGCCCTGGCGGAGCATCACGCGCTGCATGCGCGGGGGGAACGACATCCTCATTTCCTCAGAGCTATCCAGAGCTAGGCCAACGTCGTCGCCCACAATAGGCCGGATCCACAATCTGGGCGAGGTCGCAGGGGGCGGCGCCAGAAGACCTCCAGAACGGCGCCGTAACCTCTCCAGCAGCGGCATCACAATTTCTTGCAGAGGACGGCGCTCCCAGCTCTGCATCGCCCAGGCGGCGTCCTGCATCGAATCGCGCAGGCGCGCGCCGAACAGGTGCGACGCCAGGGCGCAAGTGTCGCAGCCCGCCACGTGAGCCACGCCGCGCTTGAGCACCACGCGGCGCTCCGCCACCCAGCGCGGTGGCACCTGCGTAAACGGCAGCTGGTACTTGGACAGTCCCAGGCGCCTTTCGCCGAGGGTGATACCCGGCAAAGTCAAGGCTCGATCGTGCTCAACTCGAGCCGACGTGACCCATCGCTGCTGCAGAATAAACCACCACGCGCGCCCCTAGCCATTGGCTCAGGGGACCCGCTGTGCTGAGCGCAAGGCGTAGCACAAAGTGCCCCACAGCGTCTTCTACAGGGTCAGCATCGTATGCCAAGATGCTAAGATTTGTAGGCGTGGGCGGCGAGGCTCCCAGCTGGTGCAACAGCTTCAGACGGTCGAACCCTGCCCGTTCGAATATTTCCTACCGCGCCAGAAACCTCGGCTCACTTTCGTAAAATGGTAGGGCAATGCACCCGGGCATCGGCCCCCTCCAGGTGCGCGGCGCACCGCCTGGCTTGAGCCCGATGCTGCGGAGGATAACATGTGCGCATCATCTTGCTTGCATTAGACAACAGGAGGACGCCGTCAAGCGTCCGTCGCATCCTCTTCCGTTCCCCCCCGCCCGCGCGCACTCATGGAGGCCGGGCTCTCGCCCGACGGCGACGAACCCTCAGAGTCCAAAACGCACGACGGCAGCCAAAGGATCCAGGAGCACTTCCCCCGTGGTTCAGACCCGGGAGACCAGAGCCCATGCCGAGTACCTCCAAGTCGAAAACCGAAATCCAGACACACGCCCGTGACCCCCCTGCGAGCGAGAACCGGCGAACGGGGAACTGGCGAACGGGGATTCCCCGCAAACAAGGGTTCCGGTGGACGGGAACCTAGCGAACGAAGACTCCGGCGAACAGGGGCTCCGGCGAACGGGAATTAGCAACGAGGGACTGGCGAACGGGAGCTCTGGCGGTTGGGCTCTGCATCCTCAACGACGTTGCTTGGCGCGAGCAGTTTTTCAGTATCCTGCGGCAAGACAAATGCCAAATGCACGGCGATCGCTTGGCTGACGCTGCACATCGCTCTGGCTTTGCAAGGCGGCACCCTGCGCCATTTCTTTATTCGCATTTCTCCACTTTGCGTGTCTTGCCTGTGGTCTCCTGTGGCACAACCAAAACCGAGCCGCACTTCTGGCCCCTCGGTCGCGTCCCTGGCAGCTCCTGAGGGTTCGGGTACTTTGGCTTCTTCTGCAAGCGCAGCGCGAGCATCGATACATACTCCACGTGCTCGCACCCGGCGCGGCGACAGAACCATGTGCACGTGCACGCAGCGCCGCGCGCGCAGGCGCGGAACATGCGGGTATCAGAAGAAAGTATGACGTAAGCAATGTCGTTGAACACGGCGCTCACGCGGCTCACCTGCGTGCCGAGATCTTTCTGCCTCCTGTTCGATGGCCGACTGCATTTTGTTAGGACGCCAGCCGCTTCGAGGCGATGCTGTAACTCGAGACCAGAGGAGAACAATGCACGGGCCCCATGCTCGGCATCCTCCACCACGGGCTTCTTCTTCACGTTCATGATCACCGCGACAACTTGCATCAGGTTGACGTCGAAGTGCTTGGGCGCTTTTCCTGATCCCTCCAGAACCACGGCGTGCACTGTCTCCGTCTGCGACGCTTCCCACAATTCCTGAGCATGAGATCTGCCGGCAGCGATCAGAGATGCCCCATTCAAATGTGCGGGGTCCAGCGCGGGCGGGTACAGCTGCATTTTGTCGTCGGGGTCCTCGTCCCACGAATACCACTTCCTGGAATAATTGTCGCGCAGGTATTGCATGTGCTGCGGGATCCTGAGGGGCGAGTGCTTTGCGGCCAGCGCTGCGACCTCCTTCAGCATCGTCAGACCTCCCCCCCACCCCTAGCGGGGCAGGCTTCCTTCGAGCCCCCAGCCGCGCTCCCTCCAGGTGGGGATGGATGCCGCTCGCCCCGACGGGGAGAGCGTGTATCCCCGCCCAGGCAGACAGGATGGATGCCGCTTAACCCGACAGACAAGCGTCTATCCCCGTCTGAGTAGGGAGATCGGACAGCGGGGCCAAGGCTTTCCCAGCGGAAATGAGGAATGGTCTCATGATGCTGCGTCCTTCCGAGCTTTTTCGCAAGGTGAATGCATTGGCTCCACAGAGCTCCCATCGTAGCCGGCCGTCAGCACGCCGCAGCACGCCCATGCCCGACCAGTTCGGGCAGAACAACATTGTCGTGGACTCGCCCTCGTTGTAGCATCGCAGGTTGTACTCCTCTCTCATTTCCCGCGCTGTCGCGCGAATGGTATACTTCTGCGGGCCGCGACTGTTCGGACCCAAGTAGGCGGCGGCTTCCTGCTCGTCGAACTCATGCTTTAAGCGCGCCAGGAAGCCTTCATGCAGCATGGAAGCGCAGTCCAGCGTTGGGATCCGCCGCAGTGCGTTGAGGGCTGCCAGTCCAACCCAGGTTGGTGAGCTCGTAGATGCCCGTCTGGCCAGCAGGCCTGCGATGCTTTATCTTCTTCGCAAGAGTTCCGCTTGCTGTCGTCTTCAAGCCTGCGTGCTTGGCGAAATGGAACTGGTCTTTCGCAGGTTGAGACTTCGGGAACACAACTTTCAGCCTCAATGCCAGGCGCGTAATCACTGCGCAATGCGACGACGCGATGTCGCAAGGATCCGTCACGGATGGCGCTGTCGTGCACGATCCCCAGGCAACGAAAGAAATCGATGAAATTCGGAGCCTCTTCTGTGTTAAAGGTAGCCTGCAGGAGCGGCACTCCGTGCGTCGTGAACGCCCTGCCCTGCGCTCGCCCTTGAACCGCGCCGTCTCCCTTTGGGAACGCGGTGCCGCGGAGCTTGTCTTTTGCCTGCAAGCTGATCGTGGCCGCGCCCGCCTGCCCCGACATTGCCCCCTGCTTCGCGTCCACGCCCAGGTGCAGCTGGGAGTCGTCATGCCGCGTCAGCACTTCCACCATCTTGTCGCAACTAAAACAGATGCACAGTCGCCTCGCCATGGTTGGAACTGGTCGAACGCAAGCGCCTCCTCTTGCTCGTCCGACTCCGGGGGGCCGACCGCAGCGCGCGCTTCAGCCGCAAGTCTTTTTTTTTCGCGACACTATCCCCCATCATCGTCTGGAGATCTCGTGGGTGGGCCCGCGTGTTCTACCGAGTACCGGCGCTATCATACTGAATGATTGGAAAATACAAAATTTCGGGCACACAGAGACGTGCATAGAAGGCACACGACTGCGGCAGCCATCACTTTCTTCCAGGCTCCGGCAACCCCGTCAATCCCGTCCACACGCGCCTCCGCCTCTGCGAAGGCGGCTCTGTGAGGGCGGCTCACCACCCCTCTGGATGAGTGAGGCCCCCCCCCCCCAGCTTCGAAGGGAACCTTCCCTTGACCATGCACTTTGTGATGCAACGTGCGAGTCCCCGTCGGCAGTCCTGTTCACCTCTTCTTAGCCTTCTTCTTCGAATCGCCCTTGGCCCCCTTCCGCCGGAAGACTGTCGTCTCGATCTCCTTGGCGACGCCGCTCTTGGGGCCGTGGTCGTAGCCAAGATTCAAGCGTGCCGCGGCCAGGCACCCGTTGACCCGGAGCGTCTCGAGAGCGTCCTTCAGCTCGCGATGCGAGTTCATCGCGAAAATCCACCGGACGTCGTCATCCTTCTCTTCGTCCATCCCGCCGTCGCTCGGCTTCACGGTCCCGTGGAAACACCTCGTCGCCACGACCCTCGCCTGGGGGTTCTGTGCGATCGCCTTGTACTTGGCCAGGGTGTCGAGCGCCGCGGCGGCCTGCTGCGCCATCGCCCCGCTGCCGGCCGCGGCCTTTACCTCTTGGGACTTCGCCTCCGCGGCCTCGGTGATCCTGAAGATGACGGCCCTGAGGAGGAAGTCTGGCTTCTTCCCGTCCGGGTGGCCTTTGTACTCCCCCTCCTCCGCCTCCTCCCTCGCCTGCTTCCCCTTCCTGTTGTAGCTGTCCTCTGAGGTCGCCAGCGCCACTTGCACCGGGTCGTCCGCTGCCATGGTCAGCGTGAAGTTGTCCTCCCTGGAGTTCGCGTTGAAGTTCGTCTCGTGCTGAAGGAGTAACTTGGCGAACAATTTGTCCAGCTTGCGCACGCCCCCTGGGCCGACCGCGGTCCCGTCTTCCCCCGCTGCCTCGGCCGCGGCCCCCTCCCGCGGCCTCCGGGTTCCCTGGCCCTGACTCGCCTGGGAGCCGATCGGGGCGAACATGATCACCGACGACGTTCAAAGCCGCAGAACCTGCAGGACGGGCGCGGGCGAGTGCGCGAGACGGATCTCGAGCCGAAATGCGCCCCGGAACGGCAGGACATCGATCTTCGGCATGCCCCTGTGGGTTAACATGCTGGCCCTCTGCGCGCACATGTGATTGAACATGTTGGCTACGTGTGCCCACGACGTGTGGTTGAACAAGAGGGTGGCTTCCAGTTGATGCCGGGCAGCGCTGCATACGGATATGCTTGACGAGGCTATCCACACGGGCGAACGTACGGGAACAGTGAGGACACGTTTTTGCGCGAACGAACTCAATGTCGATGGACGTAGGGTAAGCTACCACTCCGTGCGCCTTCCTCCTGTGAATGTCTAATCCTTTAGCTCCTCGGCACTGCTGGCCGCACTCCGGGCACGTAAGTAAGGGCTGTTCAGCAGCGTCTGCGCCATCACCTCGCGCATCAGATTCCGCAGCGAAGGAAAGTACAGCCTTGAAGCAGATTTTCGGGACGTTTGTAAGCCATTTCAACCACTCCGGGGAGAGCTGGGGACCGCCGTCTTGCAAGTGGAATTCGATGCGGGTAGAAGCTTGGGCAGCCGATGACATCGTACCCCATAATGCCGTAAGATCCTGGAGCAGCAGCGTCATCCTCTCAGATGGCTCGTGGAACGTTGCTGCCTCGAAACATAATCGGCCAAACAGGGCGGCCCTGAGGGCGCGAGTGGGATCGTAAGACGTCTCTGGGTTGTCCCTCGGTCCTCGAAGGCGGGGCTGACCACATGCTGCCACCGCGCCAGTCTCCGGCGGAGCAGCGTCGATGCTATCGTGTGCACCTTAGTCCGCTTGCACACCTCGACGTTGGGCATGCGAGTAATGTGAGCAGGCGCCTTCAGCAGGTGACGCAGGCGGCGGTTCTGCCAGCGCTCAAGCTTTGCCAAGTCGGTCTTGTTCAGCACTGCGACCTCGAGGGCATAGGTGGCAATCGAGCGCACAAGCGATTTCCAAGTGCGGACTTTCAAGGACAAGCTGTACATGCCTTTGTATATGCGTTGCGACAACCGACCGTGAGCACTGTTAGCATTTCGTAGACGGATCTGGATTTCTTCCTTCATCGAGCCGTCTGCTCGCAAGCGAGCGCACAGATATTTAACCGAAGGGGTAGCGTGAAGCGGGGTGCTCACTCCAGCGACGTCTTGCACCACTCCTGGTTTTTTGCCCTTGATCAGCCTCAGCAGGGGCTTGCTCCCCGCGCCCGAAGAAGAAATCATCAGCTCGGTCTTAGGTGCATTGCACTTCATCTTGGCCGCCGAGATCTCCGAGGCCAGGAATTGCAGGAAGCGGGAAATCTGCTCGAAATCCACTGCCAGAATCAAGGAAATGAGGTCGTCGACGAATTTGACCTGGGACAAGTCCCGGAGGAGATCGGTTTCCGCAGATAGCTCGTGGGTGTGGCGCGTCCTCCGAAGAGTGGGATCACAGAAGGCAACTACCGGTTGAAATTCGGGCTCGGCCATTTTATCGGCAATCGTCGACGATATCATGTCGTATAGAATGATGAAAAGTGCGGGTCCCTCTACGCTTCCCTGCCGGACCCCTTTGCTCACCAAAAGGCTACGCGCCACCTCCTTCGTCTTCGCGTCCCTCATCAAATAATGGGTTCCGTTATGCAGCTCGCGGATCGTCAACAAAATGTTGTGGTCCAGGGCAAGCTTTTTGTGTGTTTTTTTTTTTTTTGTTTTGTTTTTTTTTTCTTTTTTTTTTTTTGTTTTGTTTTTGTTTTTTTGTTTTTTTTTTTTTTTTTTGGATTTTTCTTTTTTTTTTTTTTCTTTTTTGTTTTTCTTTTTTTTTTTTTTGTTCTTTTTTTTTTTTTTTTTTTTTTCTTTTTTTTTTTTTTTTTTTTTTTTTTTCCTGTTGTTTTTTTTTTTTTTTTGTTAGTTTGTTTTTTTTTTTTTTACTGATTTTTCGAGTGCATCCCAGATGTCCCCCCTGTCGAGCAGGTCGAAGGCCTTCTCCAAATCAATGAGAGCGGCCACCAGAAGGTGCTGTTTCCGGTTGGATCTGGCCCCCGCTTTCCTGTAACGGCGGAGAACCTCGTGTACTAGTGCAATGGCGTCCCTTGTGGACCTCCTCGGCAAGGCCCCGAATTGCGTGGAAGACAGCTCAAGGCCCGCAGGGATGGGGTAGAAGTCACATTCATGAAGCTCTTGCCGGCATGGTTCAACAAGTTGATCGTCCTGTAGTGGTCCCTGGCATTCTGGCCATCCCCCTTGGGTTTGCGCAGGGATATGGTTTCGCCGTTTTGGAAACGTCTCACTGCGCTGCAGAAGGCTTGGGATGCTTGGTAGATGCCATGTAGTGGCGCCTTGATATATTGAAGCCCCAACTTCCACAATTCCGCAATAGAGCCATCAGGCTCGTCCGTCCTGGCCTCTGGAGGTTGGTACTTCAAAGTAGGGCCTCCCTTCGCATTGGGCAACTTGGTGATGGACTCGGCTACGTCCTCGACGGTGTATCCGGAGATTCTATCCATGTCGGGGGGCGGTAACTCAACTGGCAGAGGCACCGTCGCTTTCAGAGGAACGACCGTAGCGTCGAAGATCTCCGCCAGAGCAGCCGCCCTAACATCTAGCTCCTCCTCGTCATCGAAACACAAGGTTCCGGTTGCAGGATTCCGCACTGTTACTGTAGGAGCAGCTGGTTTCGGAGCCAATCGCCGAATGATGCGGTTGCACTTCTTTGAGTCTCCTTGGCTGTTTGCTTGTTCAGCAGTTGCGATGAGTTTGGCAGTGCGCTCCCGCTTCTCGCGCCGCACGGCATGGGCAGCTGGTTTCGAGCTCTACTTGAATTGGCAATGCACCGTCTTGAACAACCAAGAAGACTGATCTGGAATTCGAGCCAGCATGCGCTGAACGGCCTGTTTCGCAGCTATGAGGTGCAGCGTGGCGGTTGACCATTCTGGGAACACCCGCTTGCCCGGGAATGTCGCGTAGTGCGGCAAAGCAGCGTCGATGAGGACGCCTTCCAACGAGTTGAAGAGAGCCGAGGGGTTCGCGTACTCCCGGTCTGCGCCGCAGATATCCAGCCAGGGCTTATCCAGTTTCCTTGTCTCCACAGCATGGCGCAAGGCGTGGTGGAATGAGTGTAGAAGCTCTGGAGGGTCGCCCGCTTGCATGGCCGTCAAATGCTGCATGATCTTCTGGCGGTTCCATTGCAGTCGTTGCGGCGGTCGGCCACGCCGCACCCGTGGGCCAGCGTAAATGTGTGCCTCCACAGGACGGTGGTCCCTGTATCCACCAAGGCTCAACGGAGCTTCCCGGAGTGGGGCTGCGCGGCGGCCGTAACCACCCCGAAGGCGCGTCCAGACGTAGTCCAATCTACTCCAGCCTTCCCGGCCAGGGTGGCGGAAAGTGCCTGCGAATGCCGAGCGGCGGCCGAAGGTGTTGAGGACTTCGAGGTGCTGGTTTCGGACAAACTCTACGAATTTCTTGCCGTTGCCATTCGTCTTGAAGTGCATGTGCCTCGAGCCCGCGTGGCCTATGTGTGGTAATGTTTCCGAGACGGTGGCGTTCGCGTCCACGCAGCCCACCAAGGCGCACCGTGCCGGCGCCTTGTTCACCGCCGAACTGCACGCTTGCCAGAAAGCATCTTGGGCCCGGTAGTGTGCAGAACAATGATCAGCAGGAGAAACGCCCGCCGGAGCGGGACTAGGCGAATATGTAGGGGAGTACCCGTTCAGGATGTATAGGTCTCTCGCCGATTTCCCAGTCCTCCTCAAACGGAGTCCGAGGGCACGCCCTGGAAGCCAATGGTGTGCACACCGGAGCTCCTCGGGAGCAAATATCATGTTGTTGAACGCAGTGAGGACGCCATCCTTCGATGTGGTATTGGTGCGGGGGTTCGAGACAACGCTGAAGCCGTTCGACTTCCACGAGGCAGCGAAATCGAGCAGCGTGCCCTGCAAGCAGACCACAGCGACCTTCCGGCGGCTCGCCTCTCGCAAGATCTCGCCGAGCCTGTCGAGCACTCGGAGCGACTCGCAATTATAAGACCAGATCCGGAGACACTGCAAGGCACGATGTTGTCGGGCTTCGAGGCGGCGCCGGTGGAGTCTGCTGTCAACGGGTTCACGGCATGGCGCAGTGGAGGGTTCCACCAGCAACTGCTGAGGATCAGTGGTGAGGGAGGCAATTGACGCTTTGGTATAATGCACACCCCGGTACCAGCAGGAGCCAGTGAGCAGCGCGAGTCGCACGGCGCGTCTCAGTGCCCGCTTGCCGCCAATACGCCCATGTTCCAGCATCGTTGAAAGACGCCTTCAGCGAGATGCTGTCCACCCAGATTGGGCCATCTGGGAACGCTCAGGTCAGGGGCACTGGATTCGAGTGTGCATGGCAGGCCCCCCAGGGACTTGCGACCCTGGAGCTCAAATCATCCCTCGCGCTGTGCGATGCTTGACCCTTAGCCGCAAGTCTATCGATGTCCGCCACCGTGCCGCGAGGCGCGGAGTGGGCGCGGCCCCGGGCCCCTTGCCCAATCCCCGGAGCCTCACTCGTCACTCCTAAGGATTCCTGCCGAGTCCGAGGCCTCTCATCCGAACTCTCTCGGGGATTCTCGCGCGTTCTCAGCTTATTTTTCGAGCGCCAGAAATCCTCCAGACGGGCCCGGAGGCGCGGCTCCACCTCGGCCCATGAGGCACCCAAGAGACGGCCAAAGAGGCCCCCGAGACGGCCCTAGAGGCGCAGACGGCCCAAGAGGCGTCGCAGAACAACCGAAGTCGGGGGGCCCGAACGGACATTTCGAGCTCTCGGCTCTTTGAAGCTGCCAGGAAACCCTGAGAAGCCGTCAAAAAGCTCCCCGGAGACCCCAGGAGGCCCCCAAGAGAGTCCCCGAAAGATACCCTAGAGGACCCAAGCGAAGCGCCAAGAAGCTCCAAAACAACCGCGCCAGCCTCAAAACTGTTTCCACGAGGCCCACGCGAGACCAACCACCTGATCCCGACGAACACTCCAGAACCCTCTGATTCACAACTCGGGCGCGGTGGCAGGATGGGCCCAAGGCCATTAGATAATGGTAGCCA